AGCAATGCTTTGGGCATGTTTTTTTATGACAGTATGACATTATAACATGATATAAAACTCAAAAATGTTGATTTTACATGATATTGCCCCTTTAAAAGACTCTTTGAATTATGGCCTGTCATATTTCCGACCTCTGCTATCCTGACGGGTGATGTCCTGGTTCCTGCAGGGGGAGCTGTGGAAGTTGCTGAACCTGCTGAAAGCCACAGAGACGCTATCGGAGGAGGAGCTGGTGGGCCTGTCCATCCTCATGTCTGATTTTCAGGAGGCTCTGTCCAGGGTTCAGCCTTCAGCCAAGAGGGAGGGCTTTGCCACGGTCCCTGACGTCACCTGGGAGGATGTTGGAGCGCTGCAGGAGATCAGAGAGGAGCTCACCATGGCCATACTTGTAAAGATCAGACTTTWTTTTACATTTCTTTTTAACTGGGACTTGTAGAGTTAATCCCTTTTGTGATCCGGAGAGTAGCTGAAACAAACCATCACTTGTTTTTGTTTTAAGTTTTTAACTTTACTTGTTATATGAATTAAATGCCTGTGAGTGTACATACATDGTAAACAATCAACACAGTAGCTTTTTATTTTGATTACTGTAATGAGCTGCCCTGTTATAATTTTGTGTTTCTGTATCTGTAGACTTTAGTCCCAGAGTAACACTGTTTGATTTTTCTCATCTCCTGCAGGCTCCAGTTCGTTCTCCACAGCAGTTCAAGGCTTTAGGTCTCAGCGCTCCATCTGGGGTTCTGYTGGCTGGACCTCCAGGCTGTGGAAAAACCCTGCTGGCCAAGGTTCTCTTTTACACAAACATTACACAGAACAGGCAGCTGTGTTTAGTTTACTGTCAGACCGTCTGCATTTAGCTGTAGGTCAGATGCCCTTTCATATCAGCAACAAAAGAGAGTAAAAGATGAAAAATATCCATCAGATCTCTCTGCATTCAGCCCATGAGTTATCGCAGTAAACTTGTTTTTAATGTTGTGCTTTCTTCTGTAAGGTGGTTGCCAATGAGTCAGGCCTCAACTTTATCTCTGTGGAAGGTCCAGAGCTGCTCAACATGGTGAGTTAC